TTCTATACTTATCTTTATCACAAGTTAAGTTAAAAGGTGAACATGAGAAATGAAATGAAGACTGTTTCCATAAATGAAAGGGGATTTTAAGAGTAAATTGGCTTTTTCTCTTGAAAAAAGAAGCATGTTTCCATAAATTTCAAAAGTGAAGTTCTTTTTTACTTTTCTCTCTGACTTGGTCCATTTTTAAACAATTTCCTATTCATTTTTTCACAAAGACGCACTAAGTGGGAAAGAATATACCCCGAAAGTCACAATCTTTTTACTGTATATAATAGTGATTATCATAAAAAATTGGTGGCATACACGTCATTTTGATTACCCTTTCCACCATTAAAAAAAAAAAAAAAGGACCTGCCATTTTATTTCCATTTATTTTAAATTAACTAGCATATCATTAATTATTTGATCTCTTCTATTTGCTCCCCTTAATAGTTACTAGTCTAAATACATACCTATGATCTTAAGTCACTGCAAATTGGCTAAGATAGTGCCATATCCCACGCCTAAAAATCTCTTATCTATTTTTCAAAGCGATACACTATTAACTTGTTCTTTATTAATTGGGCAAATTGTATTCTGTATAGTTGACTTTAAATTTATCGATAATAATATTTGTTGTGTGGTGCACGTGTGAATTTGAAGTTCTTTGCCTTTGGTAGACACAACATAGTAGATGAGGTGAACACAGATATATCGCAACATACAATACAACATGTTGACCTCAAAAATTGTGCCAACGGAATCTTGGCCACTCCCCCTTTATGCATAAGTCATCATGTACTAGAACACCCGATTAGGAAGCAAAAGTTGTCGGTCGAAAAAAAAAAAGTCCAACTACCTTTTGCACTCCAACAATCAAGTCAACGGTTGAATGAGATATAGAATTGAAGCATGAGATGGGAGAGCGGATTTTGGCTAGAATTAGAATGACATACCTTGATTGTGAAATGGATAACTTATATATTGGAGAAATGAAGTTGGGCCAAGTGAGGCTTGAGGCCAATGTACCAAGACTACCCAAGACGATGTTGTTTGATTAAATAGGCCCAATCCAATTAAATAATCGATGTTGAGTTTGCTAATGTGGGATCTCGTCATGTGCATGCCACTTAATTTAAGATATAACAATAGTCCCCGAAATTTGAGTTGTATATTTATATGTAGGTCGAACTTTAAACACAAGTTGTCAAGTAGGCGAGGTTTCACAGATTGATTTGTCGAATTTTCGATTGCATTTCCTCTATAATATTGACTGAACTAACCTGAAATACAATACAATATATACACTACACATACAATATAAATTGGAGCCCATTTTGACCCTTTCGAATAAAGTAAAATGATGTAAGATAAAACTTGATAGTGTGAAGTAAGTAATATGATGTCGATAATAAAATAATAATGTAGATAACGCGGCATTCGTACTGACAGTAGTGAAAGTAGTGCTATGACATGCAAGCAACGATGTATCGTGCGTATTGGAAGTAATAATATAATAAATATGCCAGCAGTAATAATGTAACGATATAGAGCCGAGATTCTGAACTTAATATAAACAGTTGTACTAATACTGATGTAGAGTTACTACTCTGAATATATAAGCAGTTATGATAAGCTGGTATAGACCAACTCCATTTATCCTATATATAGGTGATCCATTTCATAATCAAGGTATGTCATTATAACCCCAGCCAATCCCCTCTTCCATCTCTTGCAATCATTCCATATCTCGTTCGGCCGTTGACTTGATGTTGGCGAGCAAACGGTCGTCGGATTTTTTTGGTCGGCGATTTTTACTTCCTAATGAGGTGTTCGAGTGAGCGGTGACATCTATATGAAGGAGAGATGGCCAGGATTCTATTGGCCCATTTTTTAAGTTCACCACAACCAATTTATTGGCTCTAATGAGGTGTTCGAGTGCGCGGTTACATCTATATGAAGGAGAGGTGGCCAGGATTCTATTGGCCCATTTTTTAAGTTCAACACAACCAATTTATTGGCCAATGTTGTAAGGTTTTAGATCATGGGTTACAGACGATAGGCTTACGCCAAAAATCGAGATATATATATGAAATAATCTAATGAGCATCGGTACTATTCTTTGTTAAGCATCGATAACGTTACGGGTGGGCGCGGGTCGGTTCGGTTAGGTTTGATTTTTTCGGTTCCAGAAATTTTCNGTTCTTCACACACACACACACACGTAGATTTTGTATTGGAAGAGTAGATATTGGTTTTGTATTGTGACTTTGAAGCGGTTTTTAGATTTAGTACCATAATTTCAATTACTGAGATAAAGAGTTAGATTGTCTAATCAAATACTTTTGTATGCTTGTATGTTTGTTGTTATTTAGGTTATACATTTGTTTGAGGACAAACAAATGTTTAAGTTTAGGGATCCAATTGAAATTTTACTAAAAGTTCAGTTACCAAGATGATATTTACCCCTTGCAAACTAAACTTTGTTAGAATACTATTACAAGAACACTAGAAATTGAACAATAAAAGCACACTAAGAACCCTTAGAATGTCATACAAAATTCGAGTGCAAAAGAAGGATTAAATTGTTTTCATTTTGTTTGGAAATGAGAAAATCGAATCTCTAGTTGGATCTATGGATGTTAATTAAATTTAACTCTTTACGAGTCAAGACATCATGTTCACTGCCTAGTAAATTTGACTGTATTCGACTAAGGAACGTTAAAAATAAAAAGTCACCTTTCATGATGCTATAACTTGTCGTCTGTACTCCTTTTTCTTAGAGATTGCATTTTACGTGCAAGTTGATAATTTCCATTCAAGTGAAGATTGTTGGAAAATAGTAATAAAAAGTTGAATAAAAAGCTGTTTTTTTATCAAACTTTAACCAAATATTTGGAAGGGTGTCACTACTCGAATTTGGCAAGAAATGTGTTAATCATGTTCTACTTGCCGAGTAAATGAATTTAGTATATTTGGATGTTGAAAACTATTCTTGAATGAATGGGAAATTAGTAAATGAAGTCAGGTTGGAAAACATGATTTTAACTTAGAAAAAAATCAAATTGCCCATCTAAGACTGCCACTCAAGCGACGACCTAGCGCCAAGCGAGCAACAAATGAGTGTATTTTATACACTTATTCGAGGTCTAAACAAAATATATTCTAAATTGTTGTATTTTATGTTTAATAGGTAAAATTTAATGAATAAAAAAGGAATTGAAAAAAGAACTAAGAGGTGACGCTATATATACATGCATACATAGAGAAAAAAAAGGGGGCAGCTGAAGATATATATATATATATATATATATATATAGACACACACACACACACACAACATACATAAATAATAAAATAAAAAAGACAGCTACACACATATACACGCAGAAGATAAACGTAAAAGATGACAACTTCAATTTGGAGAATCAATAGCGTTTCGTCAATTTTTGGTGATGTCGTTCCATTTTTGCGTGTTTAATTTCGACATTATGCTATGCTATATTTTTACATTGCTTAGATATAGATATAAATTAACCCTTGTTTTGAAATTTTAATATTAATTAATTATTTTGACGACTAATATGTTTATTTTCTTGAATGTTTATTATTGTTTTCGCCGACTTTCAATGAATTAGCTACTAATTGAGATGATTTATTGAAATCTATTATTATTGAGAAAGATAATAGGTTTTTAGCTAAAAATAATATACACTGTAAAGTCCGATATGGGATAGAGATATATATACCTTTATACTTTACATGATTTTCATATATATTCTAGATCGTTTAATACATTTATCATATTCGCATCTTTCATCGAGAGATATAAATGTCACATGAGAGGAATATATTTGATAACTATTGAGAGGGGTTTTCAATTACATTAGGAACATTGACCAACAAGAATTACTACAAACTGTCACTTTAATTTGTTGGGTTAAAAATGGATTAATAAGGGGATTCAATATCTTAATAATACTTTCACATAGTTTAAAAAATCAGTTAAATTACTTTCTAGTTTAATCAATAATTTAGATATTAGTATAGAAAACTCAAAATCTATTTGTTATTCGATTAAGGTTGCTATTAATTGGAACTCGATTGAATACTTAGTCATCGTGGATTCAACACTCTACACACTACTATATTATTTGTTTACGATCCCGTTCACTTGTGAAAAATCCAACGGTCACAAAGTCTCTAAAATTATCGCTCGATTTTGTTGGCAAGCGATAGTAAATCTAAGCAATTTTTTTGTGAAAAAGTTGAATTTAGCCCCTGTTTGTTACACATTCTTTTGAAATACATTCTTTCAAAACTTATTTTCAACCACATATTTTTCAATTGAATAATATTTTTCATCACATCAATAACTTTTCCTTACTTTTTAACTACATATTTTCCATCATATCACTATTTAAAATACATTATTTCCTCAATAATATCCATCAAACACTCCCTAGATTTCGATAAAAATTTATGAAACGTGGTTAAAAAATTATGAATTCCATAATATATGTGGTTAAAATTAATTGTTGACTTTAATTTAAATTAAAATCTGAATTTGAATTTCTACCAAACAGGGCTTTAAAATATAATTTAAAAAATAAAAAAATAAAATTTGAGTGGAAATCACACTCCCAATGAACCACAGTGAAGCAACAGTGCTAAATGAACGGTCAGTTATGAAAGTTACACCAACATATCAACCACTTATCTGAAGCACTTACTAATGGGCTTGCATCATATAGCCATATTTTCTTATCATCAAATTATCATCAAGCCACATGTAGGGTTAGGATCCAAGCAAGAAATTGTCACCTAGTAATGCCAACCCATTCACCCCTATATATTTACCCTTTGTAAGTATAGGTGAAAGCAAAGAAGTGACAAAGAGAGAGAGAGAGAGAGAGAGAGAGAATGGCGCAGAAGGAAGAAATGACGAGAAAAGGGCCTTGGACAGAAGAAGAAGATTATCAGCTGGTTTTATACGTGAACTTGTTTGGTGAAAGACGATGGGATTTCATAGCAAATGTATCAGGTTTGAAGGTTGGCGGGAGACAAAAGTAATAGGTAGGATTTATCTGGGCAATGGTTCCACTTTTCAAGGAACCCTATAGTTTAACACAATATTCCATGTATATATTTATTTTTTGTTGTAGGTTTGAAAAGAACAGGGAAGAGTTGCAGGCTACGTTGGGTTAATTACCTAAATCCTGCTTTGAAAAGAGGCAAGATGACACCCCACGAACAGCGCCTTGTTCTTCAACTTCATTCTAAGTGGGGAAATAGGTTAATTTTCCCATCTCTCTCTGTCTCTGTTTCTCTCTCTCTCTCTCTCTCTCGCTCGCTCGTGTGTGTGGGTTGGGGTGGGGGAGTATAAGCTTGCTGCTCGTTTAACTTTAACATTAACATGAGCTTGATGGATGAACTTATCACGTCATAATATATAACAGTTTGAATTCTATTCTTGTTCAAATTTTTAATCACGTAGCTGTAGCTCTAATATGTAGAGATAACTACACGCAGATGGTCAAAAATTGCTCAGAAATTACCTGGTAGAACTGATAATGAGATCAAGAATTACTGGAGAACCTACATGAGGAAAAGTACTCAAGAGAGGAAGAAATCAGCTATATCTCCATCGTCGTCGTCGTCCTCCTCATCGAAACCTTCTTCATCATGTAACATAATCACAGAGATCAAAGAGCCCAGTTTTTATGACACCGGAGGTCTTAATGGGGTAGCAAGTAAAGAGAAAAAACTCAATGCTCTAACATCCACCTCGGATATGGATCGAACTATCTCACGACGAATTGAATCCAATAACGTTCAAGAGAAAGAAGAAAACACAAAATTCTACTCCATGGATGAAATATGGAAAGACATTGAATTGACTGAGGAAAATGACAATTTCCCAAGTCAAACAATGGCATCTCCATTATGGGATTATTGTCCAGACTTTCTTTGGCCCATGGATGAAGAAAACAAGATGTTTCTGCCAATGAGTTATCAGTTTCATTCTTTCAATTAAGAGATGACTGGCTATATATATATATATATTATAGAAGTTCAATTAACTAGGTTGAATAACTAGGAAGTAAGTTCTTCGTTTCTTTAGCTTTGGGTTCTTGTAAAGGTAGGGGTGTAAAGGTGGACGGAGAATCCCTAGTATGGCAGTCCGACACAGTTACGGCCTGGTTCAGGCCTCAAGCGTATCAATCTAGTATGATGTGAATACAACTCTATGTCACAGTTCTTGGTTATGGAGTCACTTCTAATTATCTAATTTTGCGTTGTATACATAGTTTGAACCGACTTTTTACCGCAGATCTTAACTATTTATGGCATGTTTAGTGATGTATATGAGACACCCAACTATTATTTTATATTGTGCTATTTGTTCATATACAATTAAGTAACTTCATGTTGGTTCACATTTCTTAAACCCTTTTGATTTTTAAAACATTGTTGGATCATTTCTATATTTACGTCCCAATACCAATATTACTTATTTTAAAATAATTTTTACTTTACTATTAAAATAAGTTGATCAATAAAGAATTCATTCAGTTTAAAACACTTATTTATGTATAGGATAAGGTTTTAAGCTTAGCCAAACAAGCTCTAATTACTTCATGGTATATATTATTCAAGAAACAATATAAAATGGTTTTGTGTATGCACTAATTAATGTGATAATGATTATATAAAATAAAAATAAAGAATGAACCACAGGTTTGTTGTGGTTTTATTTAGGGAAAAAATTACATATAAACCCACTAAAAGAAAACAATTCTTGAATTACTAATTCAAATTTGAAATTATAGAACTAGTGACACCTGAACAAAAACATGCAATAATTATTGACTTCCCATAAATCCTCAAAATTGTGTAACTGAAGCACAACATAGCCGTAAGTGAGCACCGATTAATTATAATTCCTGAAGAAATCTTGAATTCAAAACCAAAGGAATTTGAAAAATATTACAAACAATGAAACACACAGCTTGTGAATTGATGATGGACGAGAAGAAGTAAGATTCACAGTTTGCAACATTGGGCTGGAGATTTTTCTTGGATAATATCCTGATTCATCTCAGAGTAAGAGTACATTATCTGGGTAGTTCTTCTCAATTTCAAGTAATTTTATACAAGAATAATGCTACATAATGTACATGTAGCATAACTCGTTTATACAATTCAACACGTAGTTTTAGATATAGGCAGAGTCCATTACAAGTAATATACAACAAAGTTATGACTTATTGACGATAATGTTGGAATTTGATTTAGGGAATGAAACATCTTAGTTAAGTATACAACTTTAAAAATGACTTTGTGTCAACTTCAACCAAATATTCGGATTTGATTTGATATTCAAATTATGAATATAAATATTCTAACTTGTTCTACTCGTCGTGGTATATGTGAAATCTCAAAACCAATTCCGAATGAATGAGAAATTGTGATCCAAAATTGGATTGAAAAGAGGAAAAAATTGGCCGGGATAAATGCCTAACTGCATAACTCGCCTATATATCGCTCGAACTCGCTGGGGCGATGAGACTTGATAAGTATATTTTATACACTTATTCGAGATCTAAAATACGATATTTGATAGTTCTTTTGACAAAATATATTTTAAATTGTTGTATTTTATGTTTAATATGTGAAACTCTATGAATGAAAAAGGAATTGAAGGAAAGAAGCAATAGGTGACGAAAAATGGCAAAATTCAAAGTACATGGACTAAATTGGCATTGGTTACACAATTAAGTGGACTCAAGGACTAACTTGCATTATAGGAAAGAAGCATTAATTTAATTCGGCATTGTAATTAATTGGACCTCCACTTGAACTTTTCGTTGGATTAAAAGTTTAGGTTATATATACACATATATACACACGCACACGAGGAGAAAAAAATATAGAGAGGCCGGAAAAAATGGCGGCGGAAGCAATAAAATAAGGCAAATGAAGAGCTACTTTGGAGTTAATTATACACACACGGGAAATTGATAAATTGCAAAGAGAGGGGAAAATATACACGCATACCAATGGTAGCTACAAATTGAGTGAGAGGAGAGAAAAAATCAAGAGTAAGAAAGGAGACACGCACATACACACAGTCGGTAGGGAAGAAGACATCGCATTCACTTTGGAGAATTAATCACATTTCTTCAGTTTTCGGTGATCTCATTCCACTTTTATTTGTTTAATTTCAATTTTATGTTAGGCTAGATTTTTACATTGCTAAGATAGAGATGGACCATAATTATGAGATTTTTTATTTAACTAATTAATTTGACGTTAATTAAATTGAATGTTTGGATGTTTATTATGGTTTGGCTTTTTTTCAATTAATTGGCCGTTGGTTGAATTGTTTGTGGATTTTATTGTCATCGAGAGAGATAATAGGATCATTAGCACGTAGTAATAAACATTGTGAGGTTTGATAGAGGGTGGAGATATACCTCTATACTTCACATGATTTGTAAATGTTCTATCTCGTTTAAGGCTTTCTTATATATTGGTATCTTTTATAGAGATATAGAGAGGTCATATATAATTAGATTTAATTGCTATCGAGAGAAGTTTCTAAATAAATTTGGAACTTTAACCAACTCGCATGATAACAATGAGTCATTTTAATTGTTGTACTAAAAATGGAATAATAAGGAGAATTCTACATCTTAGTAATGCATCTCAAAAATTTGATAAATCTTTACTTTGATTTCTAGTACGTGATAAATTAGACATAGATTTATTACAAATTACTATTGCTATTCGATTAAGGGTATCATTAACTTTAACTCGATAAAACACGTAGTCCTCGTGAATTCGACACTTAATTCACCATTAAATTATTTGATCATGATCTCATGCACTTACGGGTTTTCAAAGGGTCAAGTTTATGGCGCCGTTGTCGGGGGACTATTATTTTTTATAATCTTAGTTAATTTTAGTTTTAATCTGAATTTTACTTTTCTTTTAGTTTATTAGAAAAACATTACAGTATGTCCTGCTTACTTTTCCAAGACCATGTATGCGAAATTCGAGAATTGATAATCTTGTTCAATTTGACCCGAAGATCGAACGAGCATTCTACTTTCGAAAAAGACAACAGTTGTAAACACATCAAAACAAAAAGATGAAGACATGGCAAAGGGAAATCCGAATCCAATAGTCATAGGGACTAATTTGGAAGCAGCATAACCGAATGTCGCTGTAGTTAATGAAAATGCAAGACTAACGGGAAATATATAGTTCCACCGGTTGTGGAAAGACAATCTAGCATAGTATATCCAGCGTTTGGTCAGACAAACTTCTATATGAGGATTGATGTGATCAACATGTTACATGGTTCCACCGTTTTTGAAAAACCATTTTAGCATAGTATATCAGACGTTTGGTTAGCCAAACTTCCACCCGAGGACTGAAGTGATCAACATGTTCCAAAACGCGCTACAATTCTTTAGGAGAGCTTCGGGAATCCCAATGGTCATATATCGATATTTCTAGACATCTGTGCAACTATCGAGTATCCAGAGGTGTCCACTGAAACAATCAGATTGATGCTTTTCCCATAGATATTGAGAAACTCTGCCAGAGAGTGATTAGACACTTGTCCACCTCAGAGCATCACTACATGTAACTAATTGAGTCAGAAATTTCTTTGCAAATATTTTTCACCGAAAAGGATTGTAAAGCTGAGGGACGAGATTACCACATTCCAACAACTAGACTCAGAATGCTATTCAGATGCTTGGGAACGATAAAAAGGTTTACTCTGCCAATGTCCACAATACGGATTGCAGAAATGGCTTCAGGTGCAGTACTTCTACATTGGTCTGAATTCCATAAGTAGGGCCAACATAGACTTTGTATGCGATGGTAGGGTTAACGTAGACTCTGTATGCGATGGTTTTATCACAAAAAGAACCACAAATAAAGTCTGCCAAATCATGGAGGGTCTGGCATTCACCAATGCACTTTAGCATACTTAAAGGACGAGTTGAAAGAAAGCTGTTGGGGTCTTCGAAATTGATTCTTTGACAGCAATTTTGATACAATTGGCATCATTGGCACAAAAAGTGGATTAGATGAATGTAGCCCAGACAATAGGACCGAAATACAAACATTGTGGATGCAACCACGAGAGTGTTGATTGTAATTTAAGATCTTCTTTTGTTCAGACAGTGGAGGATGTCAACAACACAATACAAATCCTAACACCTATTACTCAGGCTGGAGAAATCACCCAGGTTCTTGTGAAGTAATAAACAGGGTGCTTAGATCACACCACATCAAACTGGTCTTCCAAGTTTTCAGCAGAAAGAGAAAAAGTTTTCAGTAGAAGATCTTGTGACTAAATTGGCGGAAATATCTACTTAACACATGCAACGTACAATAAAAAAATTGAAAAATCAGATGGGCCAGATGGCAAATGCACTTTCAGATAGACTTCGAGGAGAATTGCTTAGTAACACTGAAACGAATCCAAAAGAGCACTGCAAGGCTATAACTATTCACAGTGGGGTACAATTACCTGAGATAATTGTGAAGAGACCAATTGCTATAGAAAAGAAGGTATCTACCACGGTTGAGGAAAACTTGAAGGAATTTGAGCAATATAAAGAACAAGAGAAAATATCAGAGGATCCAAAGGTTAAAGTAACCACTTATGCCAAAGAAATATTTCAACCACTCCCATTTCTACATAGGCTATAGAAGCATAAGCTGGACAAATAGTTTTCAAATTCCTTGAGGTATTCAAAAAGCGGCATATCAATATACCATTTGTGGATGCACTTGCATAAATGTCCAGCTACGCAAAATTCATGAAGGAGATACTTACAACAAGAAGAAGTTGGACGAGTTGGGGAAACGGTTATGTTGAACAAAGAATGCTGTGCCATCCTACAAAATTAGCTGTCACCTAAACTAAAGGACCCATGGAGTTTTACTACCCCTTGTACCATTGGTGACATGACATTTTATAAGGTTCTTTATGATTTAGGTGCTAGCATT